CAGGCTATTATTGTTATCTATAATGTACTATACCTTTTGTTCTTCCAAATTTCGAAAACAGTAGATTGATCTATGCATTCAAGTTTGTGCAAATCTAGTACTTTTGCAAACACACAAAACATAAGAAACTCCCAGACTAGAAGATTTTGTGAAAGCAGCAGCTCCCAATCCACAACCATATAATTAAAACAAAGACTAGTACTCCATGAGCAATGGGAACCCACATTTGCTAGAAGCCTTGGAACTTTGTTCACTTTATGATTTTCCACAAGGCTAGAAGGTTCAACAGTTTAGAGTAGGCATTAGCATATCTTCCTCTCTTTTTTGGGAGCTGCACTACGATGACTTCCAAAAAAACAGAAACAGGAGAAAATATGTCTAAGGTTTCACACGGCGAACAGCTACATAACTAACAGAATGAACATCCACACGTAATTCCTTGTACATGATATGGGATCAAACACATGAAGTGCATCACATATCCCAACGTAGATCAAAAAAATTCATATAGAATTCCACAAAGAACTGAGCAGCATTTACCACCAAAGTACTGAATGATGTCATCACTGTTCTTTACTACATCTTCTTCGGCAACAGCCCTTGTGTTACTAATCTCAGTATCCTGTTCCTCATTACTATCAGATGCATTCCTGTAACAATAATTCAAACATTAAAAAGTGGTATGATAAATTTGTGTCGAGTTCTACTGGTACAAATAGTGAGTGTACTTCAACACACATAAAAGGATGATATTTTTTGACCAAAATTTAGCATAGCCTACACAAGAACCATAACATCGTGGTGTATAACTAATAAAATGGCATAACAAATAACCATATCTTCCACAAAACATGTCTGCAACAGTTTCAATTAGATGGCAAAAGCAAGTTCAGATTTAATACTCAGGTGAAAATGCATAACTGTAAAAATCCAATTAACAATGGAATGTTCCCTATTCCACTACTCAGCTAAGAAAGCACATCAAAGCTGACCTGACAAGCGAGATCATTGTTGCTACATGTTGACTGCCTATTTCCTTAATGGACTCATGTGTCTTTTGCAGTCTCTTGGAAGCCATTTCAGCAGTGCTTACGCTGGAAAAATAAGACAAAAGAAACAACAACAAACAAAGAAAACATAACAAAGAAATTTAGAATTGAAAAAATAATATTATATACTGCAAAAGAAGGCGATTCATAATCCAAAACATTAAATATAAGGATTCACTCAAAATAAAAGGCAAGAATGACTAAATCACTTACCATTTCTGTAGTAGCAACTCCATACGACAATGTTTGGCAGCAGAGAAATCAGCACTGTCTTTAGCATCGTTCTGTGTTTGCATAGAGAACTCCTGCCACTTTCGCTTTGCATCTGTTGTAATACCCTCCATCGAGGAAACATGCCCATCTAAAAATGTCTTATTTCCAATAACTGTTTCTCTAAGACCAACAAGTCTTGCATCCACCTGTCAGCTCAACTATTAATCTACTACAAAAAAGCAACATGGTAAAGAAGGCATTAAAAAAAGACAACAAACCAGCTCTTTTTGACGATGGATGTGATTGAAGACCAAAGTAGTCATATCAGCAATAAGCTTCTCTGCATCGGATTTTGACTGTTCCTGCACAGATTAAGCTTCATATGTCTCACATCCCAGATAAAAGTTTTTGCCTTTAAGAATATGAAATATTACCTCGTAGGCCTTCTGAAATTCAGCAATACCGTTCATCTGAATCTTATCAACTTGAGTTGCATGACTTTCAAGCCTTTTCGATTCTTGAATAAGCTTGTCTAAAAATCCATTGATGAACTTAGAGATACTCTCTGTATGCTCAACACTATCATTGAACCTCTGTGAAATTCAAAACCGAAATTTTAATGAGATAAATAAATTAGCATGGCCATATGCAGTTTAAAGGGGGCGCGAAAAAAGGCAGAAGAAACCCTTAAATACTAAAATTGACGTATGATGACAAACATAATGAATGTATAGTTCATTTTTTTGTCAGAGTTAAATATCTTATAAAAATAAGCTACAATAACTTCCATAAAAACTATTCTAGAAATTCAAGAATTTTCAATGATGTGAGTGTTAAATCATGGCTAAGTATGTCAAGAAGCAACACTAAATCCTACAACAAGCAACTAATCTGTTGACAAGAGCTAAATTCAAGCAATATACAAACCTGACGAAGCTCTCTAGCAAAAAACGCCATTTCTCCTTGGTGAGTTGATAGAGTGTTATGAAGATCATCATATATCGAATTTGCTTCAACAGTCTCTGCAGCTAAAAACTAATCCAAAAAGAAAAAATGTGAAAACAAATATGTAAAAGAACTAAGGCAACACTATAAAAAGCTTTGACTCATAAAGATGACAAAGAAGCATCTATTGTAGCTTCTTACTTCTTCAATAGAATGCGCATTAGAAGAAACCAAAGTTGAAATCTCCTCTAGGGAAGCATTAGAGCTTGCTTTATGCAAACGCACTACATTCTGCACAGCTTCAATGTGAGAAATATACAGGGCCCTTGAAGCAGTTACTTTCTTCTTTAAATCAATTACAGCCTGTAAGCAGAATTAAATATAAAAACATGTTATTAAGTAAGCAAAACTGGGACATTGGCTGCACATGAAACAATCAAACATCCTAATTCAGGACTTTATCAAATTGACTTATATCTCAGCAAATTAAAATACAAAGAATGAAAATAAAGGATGAGAAAGAAAATCAACTGCCGGAAGATAACCAAATACCTTATCATGTATGTTAAGAAAAGACTGACATAAATTCTCAATAGCCTGGATATGTTCATTTGCTGCGACACGGACGTGGCCAATGTGTTGCAAAGGGAACCAAGTTGCCGCACAAGATCAGCTTGGAAATTGTTCACAACTGACCTGTTATCAGCATTCAGCTTGTCCTCTCTAGCTACGAGACAACATATCAGAAAAAAGTCAGAAACTTTTCTGTTAGAAATCACGAAAATTAGCAGATTGCGAATGACACTACATACCAATTTTCAGAAATAGTGAAGCATTGTCCTGAAGAGATTTCTCCAAGTCAGACCGTAAAACACATGCCTGATGGGCCAATGCATTTTCTGTAACAAATATTCAACAAGAGTGAGATATGCTGAAAATATAAAATCTCAATTCCAATCTACTTGAATATACCAGCTTTTTTTTGTTCAGATATCACAAAATCTCGCTCCTTGAGTGCATACTTGCATCTCTTCAGTTCTTCCTCGGTATTGGCTAGCAATTTATAAGTTTGATTCAAGTTTTTCTGCAAAATTTTCCGAAATAAGAACCTATGAATAAAATCCAAAACCATATTTAGACATTGGAACTGCAATTCACCTGTGTAGTATCAAGTTTGCTGCTCAAATCAGCGCATTGTTGAACTTGAGCATCGTACTTCTCTTGCAAATCCTCAATTTGCTGTTTATGAAAAACCAATACGTGGAAAGTATGAATAATTTCAACAAAACAGATTCGAAGGATTGATTCCAACCACTTGAAAAACAGCATAATAAAAGGCGACCTTCTGGTGCGTTTCTATAGTGACACCCATTTGTTCAATCTGATCTGCCATTGCCTAAACATGAAAAAAATGATACAAGATGGGAAAATTAAATGAATAAACTTCAAATGAACATGAGATAATACATGTATACGACAGCGTCTGTAATGGTCTATTATATGAAGATTAGCACCTCCCCATATGGCCTTATATTTTTTCATTGTCCATAAACATTGCAGTCCAGAAAAAATAGCTAAAAAGTCTCACTAAAAATCAAAAAATTGCATACAGATTCATAACAGTACCTTCCTTTCACTCTCCTCCTGATAATATCGTTCCTTTGGTATATAGACCCCAACTTTCTCACGAGCAGCATAAACCTCTGGACAACACATAATTTAACCAACAAATACAGGTCAATCAAACAAGATGCGTAGCTATAATGATCAATTGCCTCTAATCATATATCTATAAACAGCAATGGCATAGCTGTATATTTTACCTGCCTTGAGCCGTTCAATTTCACCATAAAGATCCTTGATAAGAGTTGATTTCATCATTTTCTGGTTCACCTGCAAGTAGTCATAACAAAGATTCATATTTTGAAGGGACTGAATAAAACTAAAGTAATCCATGCCAACAAAAAGTGAAAAAAATTTAGTGAACCCATCAAACATAACTGTTCATAAATGGGTTAAATGTGAAACTAAGACGACCAAAAGCACAACCATCCACAAAGTTGCTTGCAACAATTTGGCAACTTAATAAATTTTATGCACCCTTCATGACAATTCAATATTTTTGTTTCCATTATTTAGATACAATTCATGCTGAGCATAACAATGAAGTTTATAAATTTGTGAGTTAGAAACGTGAGAGAGTATATATGCACATATATCCTTCACGTAGTTTCGTATACCCAACGATAAAATTGATAGAATACACTACATAGTACATCCTGTGTTTCATTACCGTCAATGAATTAACATTTTAAATCTAATAAGTATGTGCAAATGTAGAACACTATCAAATCAAGACAAATGAATCTTCATATATGTCGCATGTTATTCCTTCATTCAATTAATGAGATACTTGACTCATACAATATAATGAAATCATGCCACACCCTTAGTTATAGACAGATTTATAGAATTAAATTAGATTTGCCAAAAGAACTTAGATAACATATAATGTGACATTTGACTATATAAAGCAAGAACAAACCTCAGGCTTATTCTTTATATTTTTTGCTCTATGGGCATAATCCAGCGTGCTCAAAGTCTCCTCAAGACAATGAACTGCAGGTGATACAGTGGCAATAATGCATGTCTTGGTTCTTCCCCCAAGGAATCACGAAGTAAACGAGTCAACTTACTATCCCTGAATCCAAGTAAGCACTGTAATTAGAAACTGATTAAGGAATCCATATAACTGAAAAAACCAAGAAAATTCCTAATCAACCTAGGAAAAGTTCAACCTGTACGGAACATGCCCAAGATGCTCCACAAGGGCATTGATTACTCGTCCTAATGTCAGCAAACTTTTGTTTATCTCTCCAGCTTCTCTTGCACGACCCTGAAATTTTTAAAATAAACATAATAAAAAGAAAGAGATAAGAGAAAAAACATAACCAAGTTCAACCAGAAGAAACATTCCAAACCAAATGAAAAATGAAAGAAACTTACTACATACCCAAAGACCCTTTTTAAGTTTTAACAACATCCACAAGTTTTGTAGGCACATTTAAGTGAACAATTACCTCTCTAGCACCAGAACGAGAAATATTTTCAGAACCAGCTAAATCAACTAAATTGAGCTTCCCACATTTGATAAGTTCTTCACCTTCTGGAGTTGCTTCTTTGATGTGTATAGTGATGGAGAAAAGAGAATGTGACCGACTGAAAGACAACAATCATTTAGCAAATAAGGAAATACTAATTTGACAAAATATAAGAAGTAGTGGCAAAATTTTAACCTTGATTGTTTGTTTAGTAGAGTTTCTGCAGTACGACGTTTTGCAGACCCCCTTTCAATTAAATTAAAAATCTCACTCGAACTTGCTACAATTTCCTCCTCTAATCCTCTCACAAGAACTCCTCCTTTTCCATCTTCCATGAGGGGCAACTGTTTTTTCTGTTTATCCTCCAAAGCAACTCTAGATATTTCTTCAGGGCAAGCAAATCGGTAATTTCCTCGTTATACAATTCCAAAAATGTGACCTTCACACTATATTCTGCATTTTGACTCTCCAATGTGTCAAAAATTTGCTTCACAGCTCTGGGTATGACACCTGCTTCTGGAGGTAACTCTCCATTAGGCCCACTCTGTCAAAGAAAAGAGAAAATCATATGTGAAATGAGAAAAAAAAGAGCTGAACTAAACTCTAATAGGAAAATAACAAGTATCCTATATATACCTTTGACCTTTTACATTCACCTTCCATGGTGTATGTTTTTCCCGTGCCAGTTTGTCCATATGCAAAAATGGTACAATTAAAGCCCTCCAACACTTCATTGACAATTGGAATAACTGCTTGATCATAAAGATCCCTTTGATGAGCTGAAGGACCAAAACCTGTATATAACAAAGATTAAACTCAACGCATCAAAGAAATCCTAATAGTTGGGCATCACACACAGATAACCCAAATCACATGTAAATCCCTGTTGCCATTGCCTTATTCAAAACCATAAAGTGGTTGACTTTTGAAAACAATTACTTTAATCCACTACAAGGAAGAATATTAGCAGGTCAGTTAAGTATCATCATCTAATACATAGTATGGCGCCAGAGTATGGCCGTTATGATATATGAGATTTCACATTGACCTAAAATCACTGTCTGTTTCAGAACTACTGTGTTAAACACAATTATCTGCCCTTTCTGGGGGATCTGTGATATTAGTTCGGGACTCTCCAATTGGAAATCTAAACAACCATACACAAAGAATATCTATAACTTTGAACAAATCAAGGGAGAACTTCTAGTTTGGTAACATTTTCAAGTACCCTATAACATTAACTGACAGTAAGGAACAAATTTTAGTAGATTATGTTGGCAAGAGCTATTACATTCATGTGCTGGGCTGAGAAAGGATTGGCAAGACCAGTACCATGAGACATCAAAGACAAACGTTTTCATCAGCAAAGACCATTTTTACATCTGTTGTCCAAACTATTCCAGGAAAAAAATAAGCATCTAACTATCACAATTCCCAATCCACCACCATATGGGATACCTTTAAAAGTTAATTATCTAATTTAGGGTTTTTCAGTACTTTTACTTTAACAGTTTTATCTTGTTTTTATAACAATTTCTATGACACTTCAGTAACATCTTTTGCTCCACAGTTCACAACCCCAGTTTAGCCCACCAAATGTGTGTGTAGTTTTGCAACCAATCAAAATGCGTTCTAATTTACAACCCAAAATTCTCAACTAATCAGTACACACAATGACATTTTACAATTATCCCATAAAAGAAAATCTTATCATGAGTAAAATTTTCGAGGGCACAAAAACGAAGAAATATCAACCACACATCAAATCAAGTTTATGTGTGAACAGTAAACCAATGCATATCAAATGTAACGTCATTTTCACTGTAAATTAATTAAACTGTACAAAAATTATAACCATTTTTTGGCCAATTACCTTGTCAAATGTAAAAATTCTATCAATATGCTTCCCAGCAATATTTTGAGAAACCGCAACTTCTCTCTGGTAATCATTGCAGGTCACTACTTGCGGTGCATTGTTCCGTAACTCTTCTTCGCTAAATGGTCTAGAAATTGTTGTTGGAAGAAAAGAAAAAGAATGTAAACATAAGAAAATTGAATAATTTGCAACAAATTTACCTGAAAAAAACAAAATAGAAACCATAGCTCCTAACCATTTTCACATTACACATGAATCTATACACACGTTGATGGATGCATACATATATATAGGCATATGTGCATAGATAAATAGAGAGAGAGAGAGAGAGAGCAGTACCTGCAACGAAGAAGAACCTGCACATTAACACCTTTCTCTTTCTCTTGGCGACTCGACATTTTCAAGCGACGATGAGAGAGAGAATCACATACACCAGTACTGTTGTCTCTAGATCTACTCCCTCTCTCTCTCTCTCTCTCTCCTGTCTGGGTCTGTCTGTGAATCTGATATGAGAGCGGGATGAGAAGGTGATTTGAAATTTTGGGAGCCGCTCTCATACTTCAATCCCACCGTTGGTCTCTGACTGGTTCAGATCTGACGGTGCATGTAATAAGGCAATTGACGAGACATTTGTTTGACGGAATTGTCCCTGGAGGGTACCTAAAGGTCGTTTTTAACCCCAAGTTGGGTGTACGATGAGTTGGACTTTGAAGCTGGGTCATGCTTAAGGGCGTTCTTACTTCTTCGTAACCCAGTCAACAGAGCCCTGTTATGTTCGGTGTCTGGTAGGTTGTCAAAATTTGACATGATATGATTATTCGATACGAATTTGGGTAAGGTCTTAACGGATTTAGATGATAAACGGATTGACATGTCAAACACGTTTAATAAACGGGTCATGTTCGAGTGAGACCTGTCAAACCGTTTATCATATGTTTACCCGTTTAAATAAAATTAATATAATAATAAATTAATAATTATTTTAAAAAATTAACAAAAAAAAAGAAGTAAATAAATCAATAAAAAAAGAAGTAAAGTAGTAGTTCAAAGACAAAAGAGAAAAGTTTGAAAACACTTCAAAAGCAAAGACAAACAAATGTTTTTTGTTTTTGTCCCACATTAGAAAATGAGAAGAGATAGAGAGAGTTGAGTTGCCTATAAAAGACAATGGCCTCTTGTTTTTATTTTTAAATCTTTCAAGTCTTATTTTCAAAGACAAATGAGAGGAGTTGTAGAGCACTTCAAAGATAAAAACAAACCAATATTTTTTGTTTTTATCCCACATTGAAAAATGGGGAGGGTGAGTTGCCTATAAAAGACAATAGCCTCTTACTTTTTTTTTTAAAGTCATCAAATCTTATTTTTATGAGATTTGATTTAAAATTCCTCTTTTTTGAGATAAGTGCAATTAGTAGTAAAAAAAAATATTAAAATTTGTTGATATAATTTTTTAAAAATTAAACTGATTAAACGAGTCGTGTCGTGTTACCTATTTATTAAACGGGTCGTGTTCATGTTAAAATTTTTTACTCGTTTATTAAACGTGTCATGTATGAGTTTATACGTTTTTCACCCGTCACCTGTTTAACCCGACACGATTGACACCCCTAATGTCTAGGGGTGTGCATAGCTCGGGTCGGGTTAGGCTTGTAAAAATAATTTTGGATCGGGTCTAGCTGGTGTAGGATGAGGCCTTTATCTAAGTGTGTTATCAACAGGCCGTGTCGGACTTCAGGTAGGGGTAGGCTACCCGCAATGCAACACACAAACCTATTAGGCAGACCTGCTTGCAAGTTTTTTTTATAAACAACTTCATTTAAAAATAATGAATATTTATGTAAATTATATTTTTGAATAAAAAATACAGTCAAAATAAATAAAAATAAAATAATAAATTATTTTTATTTTTAATTATGGGATAAACTATATTCAATAAAATAAATACTTCCCAATTAGGTTGACACATACTCACTTATTTATCATTTGCATTACTCTATCGTTTAAAACTTGTATGTTTAATACATGAAAAATAAAATAATACATTATTTATAGTATCTAAATTTTTAAAACTTAAAATTCTAACATTGAAAGACTTATTTCAAAATTTCAAATTTAATAGTCTACAAGTATATTGCAAATAAAGGGTGGTGGACGGGCTAAGTGGGTGGGTTAGGCTTCGCAGACGGGCTCTTGGGCCAGGCTTCAGGTTGAATAATAAGGTTTGGGTGCAAACTCAAGCCCTCTTTTTAAGAATATTGGGATCGGGCTCGGACAGGCCAACTATTGACCCTATCGAATTTTGAACCTATTTTTTTGTACCAAATAACGAAATCCGTAGATAACCCGATCCATAGGCACCCATATGTGTGTCCATCCTCAGAACAAAGCTGTATTTAATATATTAGAGATCGTGCACATACATTCCTCGACCACCCAACTAAATAAAAGATTACAATTAAAAAATGTGAGAGTCAATTTTTTTTTTTTTGGGGGGGGGGAAGAATTGTTTTTTTCTCATCTCTTTTTATTAATGAACAATTTCATTGCATCTCAAAAATCAAAATATAATTTCAGTATGTAAATGTGTACACTTATCTTTTTTTTTTTTTATTCAATGATCAAGAATGTTTCTAACTACCGCGCACCTCAACTAATGTTGGAAGCCCTGCAATTGAAGGCAATTAAGGAGGGAATTGCAAGTCTATTAAATCTCGTGGAAATGTTATTGATTTATTCTTGGTCTATGGGATTCCCTACAATGAGCTTTTTTTTTTTTGATTATTCACACACTTCTTTGTTGAATACAAATCTCGTTTACTATATTGTCTTTGAAATTTTTATATTGTGACATTATAAATTGTACACCGTGAACAATTCACTTATATATAATAAATTTCACATAAATTACTAAAAAATGATTTATGCCGAGAAAATTATTATTTCCACTACTTTTGCAATTACACTTACGTAAAAGGAAGTGTGAAGCACGTCGTCGTAAAAGCAAATTCAATTTTTTGAGGTCATTTTGAAGAGTAAATATTAGATATAACGGTGACACCATATTATCAATATTACATGTTGTCACCGTCCAATAATGAATGATAAAATGGATAAAATGAATATCACCTTCATAGATGGGTGATTACTAAATTGGGTGGGATCCACTTACTTGTTTGTTATTTTTCTAGTAAATGGTGATACTACATAACGATGATGGTCTAATACCATTGTTACCTTCAATATTTGCTCTATTCGAAGGATGATTCTACAAGTCATATGGTCCTTTTTCTTCAAACAAAAGATCCTAATTCTCCATTAAAAGGCACACAATCGTAGACTATTCTTCAAATAAGACAAATTCGCAAATTACTTATACTTACCTACTAATTATACATTATAAAAAGACCCAAAATTTTAGGTCATATTTGGTTAGCATCTGTAAAACAGTTTTTTGTTCTAAAAATTTTTAAAACATTCAAACCTGATTGTTTAGCATTTTTGTTCTCAAAATTTTTGAAAAAAATGAGATTTGGAATACAAAAACAAAAAACAAGCCAGATTTGTTTTCTGGGTATTATTTGAAGATTTTGAAAACACGAAAAACGCACAAATCTATTTGTTGTGCACTTATTGTATCAATATAAAAGCTTTTTTTTTTTTTTTTGCATTCTTTTTTCCTCATCTCTCTCTAACCTCTCTCTCTCTTGTGCCGACATCATGGTTGTGTCTTCAACCCATAAATTGGGTGACTGGAAGCACAAATCCGGCGACTAGATAGATCCTTTGGTAGTGGTTGTTAGTGTTGGGTGGTGGTTCTCTGTTTGGGTGGTGGTGGTGTTTGTGGGGTGTTGGGTGGTTCTCGATTTAGGTGGTGGTCTTGGTGGTGGGTGATGAGTGGTGGGTGGTGGGTGGTTCTCGGTGTGGGTTGGTGGTGGTTGTGGGTGTTGGGTGGTGGTGGTGGTTGTGGGTATTGGGTGGTTCTAGGTGTGGGTTGGTGGTGGTGGTTGTGGTTGTTGGGTGGTTCTCGATTTGGGTTGATGGTGGTTCCCGGTTGTGGGTGTTGGGTGATACACAATGAAAGAGAGAGAGAGAGAGAGAGAGAGTTGAGAAAATGTGGGAAATTTGTGAATTATTGTCCAAACAAATTTTATAATTTTTATTTTTTAAAACTATTTTCAAAAATATATAACCAAACAGGTTTTGTAATCTAAAATTTTTTAAAAATACTTTATTAAAACTCTTCTAAAAAATAATTTTTAAATACTATTTTTTGAGATACAAACCAAATAGGCGCTTACCTTCTTGTTTTCCTTCTCACAAGTTAATTACGCAGTAGAGAATTTAAGTGAGGGTAAGGTTAAGTGAGCTATTGGTGTGCCAAGTGTAAGCTGTGCAGAAATTTTGGCATTATGGCTGAGGCCAGCTAATTCTACTAACAGTAATTTATTTAGACTTATTGAGGCTTGATCCACCACCCCCCACCCCCAACAAAAAAAAAAAAAAAACCTAAATTCAAGAAGGCAACAGGCAGGTGGCAGAAGATTTATGGTCAACAATAAGTTGAGTCAAGCACTGGTTTATGTAGTTTGTCTATCAGAGTGTTAATTGAATCAAATTTTAAAGTTCAAGCATGTCAAGCTTGTTTTTTTAAATGAGTCTAAAAAATTGTTTAAACTTAACTTATTTAAAAATGAGCTGATCCCGAATAACTCAATTATTTTATATGGAAACTAGATCAGCTTCGCAAGTTCGAGCCGAGTCTTTTTAGATTCATTTTTCTAAACAAATATAAAAAATTATTCAAATTCAACTCGTTTAAAACACAAGTCGAGCTCGAATTCGAGTTGAACTCAAATAAATAGTCTCGATTAACACTCCTATTCATTACATGGGATGTCAAATGGAGAGAGAGAGATGCATTTATATAAAGAAAAGCCAGTAGGGATTCATCAGTTAGTTCCTAGTGCCATAGATATTGTGGTAATTGACCAGTTGACACTAAAGAAGCAATTTATTTTAACATTAACCCTTTTCCCAGCTCAGAGTTTTCAGTTCTGACTGATCAACTTTAAAACCTAGCTGGAAAAATGTCCAGTTTATTCCCAAATTGATCAACAGTGGTACTATGTATGTATATACATTCCATGTTCTAGTACATCAACTCATGGACTCAACTCCATACATAGAGAGACCCCTAAAACACTAAAGGCTAGTGTACACAACTTCTATCTTCATATTTCTAAACAAACTCATCTACCCAATTTCCAAAATCAAACTTCCCATTGCAGGATTCCACAGCACTTACCACCTCTTGGAAAACAGTCACACTACATGGAACCACAAGCCTATTCCTCTGCTTGAACCCGAACTCATTGTAGGCCTTCTCTAACAACATTTTGAATAGAGGATGAGATAAGTACCCGGTCTGGATCACGAAACGTTCTCTCTCCTCCCCTACATAGAGGGCGAAGAATCCGGTTGGGGTCGAGGAAGACGAGCCTTGATCTTCTTTATCACTAAGCAAACATTGAGAATGCGATGGCTCACGATTATCACTTCCAATTACCTTCACCTTCTCCACCAATTTCTTCATTGAACCCATCTTCTTGCTCAACATGTTTTTAGAAACCTCAGGGACAGTTAGGAGAGGGTGGAGGTGGAGGTGGAGGTGGACAGAGAACTTAATAGAAGGGAGTGGTATATGCATTGAGAGAGAAGGTGCGTGGGGGAGAATATGAGGGGAATGTCTCAAATAGTGCCTTAAATGAGAATCTATGATTGTGGAGGTTTTCATTGTCTCTAGGTATTGTCTTCAACTTCATAGACTTTTGACTTACCCATAGTTAAGACGGCCTATAACTAAGTCATCTTTATTTTTTTAACATAAAATTATAATTGCCGGCACTAATTTAGGGTGCGAATAGAAAGGAGACGAAATGGTGGTAACAGATATGAGTTATAAACTCAAATGTATTGAATTCGAATTTTGACAACTCGTTGAAGTGAAGCCATAAGGTATTTATTACTCATTAATACTGTAGTCTCAACATGAATAATGTGTCTTTGACTGTATTAGAGAAGAGATTAATCGAGGTGCACGTAAACTAGTCCGGACACCCCTTACCTTTGAACCTAACAAAAAAAAATTTTGGTGAAGATGTGTTGTATTTAACGTTGGATGGCCAAGATCCAAAGTTTTTATAGGCTATCATTTTTAGAATAATGTAGCAAAACTTAAAAAAAATGGTTTAGGTGTTATTTATGTGTTCGAACTAATTTGAATAGGGCGATACGAATAAGAGATTGATTGATTGATTAAAGTAATGTTTTCCTTAGACAAATAAAAATCAATAATATTATACTAAACCCCTTTTTGCCGTTGGGGAAATGTAAATATTTTTAGTTACCAAGACATGTATAGTTAGTAATATGACTGATACATAATTGAATCAAAGGACCTTACTTTTAAGCTCAAATTCCTTATGAATTAAGAAAAAAAAGTGATTTTTTATTTGTCAAAAAGGAGAGAATACTCACCACCCACCTCCCTAAGTTGAGAGAGAGAGAGAGAGAGAGGTTGACCTCGGATAATGGTGGGCATCATGAAAGAAGTGGGAAGCCATTAATAATAACATCTCATCTCTTTGCAGACATTAAAATAGTCAAACTACCACTTTAGTTTTAGTCCAAGAAACCATAACGTGTGGGGGGATAAAGGGAAGAAATATTATTCCTAATCCTACCTATAGACTAGAAAAATAGCAACCAAGGACGGCACCCTTATGAACATTGTGTGAGGGCGAGGAGAGACATAGATACATACATACATACACACCTATATAACTATATCTATACAAATGTACTTATATGGTTCAATCAAAAAAATAACTTTTCGACATTATTTTTATATTTTGTTATTTTTCAAATTAATAATTATAAATAATTCAAACTAATATTTATGGTTGGGGTTTGGGAATCAATTTTGGTACTATACCACAACGGTGTCATTAAGAGTATCAAAATATGATACTGATGATGCACAAAAATGGTTTTGCACACCACCTGTCAAGTATGGATAATAAATGCAATGAAATCAATGAGAAAATTAGAGAAGACACAATTTATAGTGGTTCGGTCAATTCGACCTACGTCCACTCTTCAATGGCTTCAGTCGCCGGATATTTTATTGATTCAAAGGTATGGAGATACAAGCTTTGAGAGGGAGAATGGAGAATCAAAGAAAATAGTAATCTCCGGTAGTCGGTTCGTCTTCTGTAAGTCTCTGATGGAGCATGTCCCTCTCCTCTCCCAGATTAGAGCCATTTTATAGTAGCTAAGAGATCATTCTTGTGGAGATCATGACATATCCTCAAGGCTTCTTTATCGCAGCTTAGAGATTATCTTTGGTGGAGATCGCGACTTATCCTCCACGGAAGGAAGAGGTTGGGGAGCTCTTCATGAAACGTGGTCAATGATTGGACCGTTTTCTTCCTTCGGTGGTGCAGATAAACTTCTCGTGCTCTCCTCTTGGTGACGTGCTAAGCAAGAAGTCTAGCCGGCCTTGGGCTGTTTCCTTTGGCGGTGTAGATAAACTTCCCGTGCTCTCCTCTTGGTGACGTGCTAAGCAAGAAGTCTAACCGGCCTTGGACCGTCTTGGTCTTGGTGGTCTCTTGGTGACGTGCTAAGCAAGAGGTTTAACCGGTCTTGGACTGTCTTGGGCTTGGTAGAATCACAATGAGGTTGGGCTCCTCAAATGAGGTTGGACTTTAACACATAAATTGGACTATTTGGGCTTAACCCATCATTTGCCCCCCAATGCCCCATGTCCAAGGAGACTTGGAGAAGGAGGCATTGATTACATTTTTTTTTTTTTTTTTTTTAAACTTCAAATCTTTCCCATTTTATTTTGAAGAGGGAGTGGTGGAGGTTGAAGAAAGGGAGACGGCTAGGAGCGCGATTGGGCAGCGCAGGCGCGCTGGGCGCGCGGCTGCGCAGGCTGCGCAGGAGCGCTGGGCAGCGCAGGCTGCGCAGGAGCGCTGGGCTGGGCAGCGCAGGCTGCGCAGGCGCGCTGGGCAGCGCAGGCTGCGCAGGAGTGCTGGGCTGGGCAGCGCAGGCGCGCTGGGCAGCGCAGGAATGCTGGGCTGGGCAGCGCAGGCTGCGCAGGCGCGTTGGGCAGTGCAGGCGCGCAGCTGGGCAGCGCGCGCGCTGGGGGCTTAGGCGCTAGGGGCCTGGGCGGCTGCCTAGGCTCTACTCCTTGCATCCTGGACAGCTTCAGATCTGCTGCGCTGGGCGGCTTTGGAACGCTGGGCAGCAGCATTTTTTCATCAAGGGGCGCTGAAAATCAGTACAAGGTTCGTCAGGGAGAGCTAGGCAGTGGCCTGGGAGCATGGGCTGATCCGATTCCCACTCGAGGTGCTGATTTGGGCGTCTTAGGTGCTGATTTTTACGCCGAAAATTCTGTTTTGCGCAATTTTGAAGGGCCAGACACCCTTCAAGCTACTGGGCAACTTTGTTTTGACGAGCAACAACAGTCAGGCACGTTTCTAGGCGTTGGGCTAGACATTGCAAGTAGTAAGGAAGCTTTGGGTGCTGCTCTTGATGATCAAGCCCTTCTCCAGGTGCTGGGCGCCTTGGGTGACCCTGGGGCTACCTCGGGAGAGCCTGCTTGTGATGACAAAAATAATGTTATTCCAAACATTAAAATATCTCACATAATTACCTGGAGAGAGAGAGAAGTAGGCTGCTTGCGCGAGAGCAAAGACAGAGTTGGAGAACTGCTCGTGAGAGAGCTACACTTTTTGAGACCTAGCTTTTGGCGACCCATGAGGGAGTCTTTAAGCTTGAGGTATAAGCTTCCTGTTTGAGAACAGTGCAGAGGCCAAGCTTTTTTGGTGACCCGTGAGAGAGCCGCTAAGCTGGAGATAGGCTGCCTGTTTGAGAACAGTGCAGAGGCCAAGTTTTATTTATTTATTTTTTTTTTTTTTTGCCGATCCATGAGAGAACCGCTAAACTGGAGATAGGCTGCCTGTTTGAAAACAGTGCAGAGGCCAAGTTTTTTGGCGATCCGTGACAGAACCGCTAAACTGGAGATAGGCTGCCTGTTTGAGAACAGTGCAGAGGCCAAGTTTTTTGGCGACCCGTGAGAGAGCCGCTAAACCAGAGATAGACTGCCTGTTTGAGAACAGTACAGAGGCTAAGTTTTTTAGCGACCCGTGAGAGAGCCGCTAAGCCGGAGATAGACTGCCTGTTTGAGAACAGTGCAGATGCAGGTCAAGTTTCTGGTGATCTGTGAGATGATTCACCTTGCCTAAACTTGTTGATTTCCTCAGCATTCATATATCTTTGAGCTTTTGTGAATAGTTCTGGCATGCTCTTCGGTGGGTGCTTCAGAACCGAGAAAAGGAAACTTGATGAACGGAGGCCACCCAAGAAGGCGGTCATCGTCACCTTGTCGTCGGGTTCATCAACTTGGAGTACCTCCTCGTTAAAACGAGTGAGATAACTCCTCAGGCTCTCCTTGCGGTCCTGCTTTATACTAAGCATGTGCGTAACTGGCTTCTGGTGGCGACGCCCTCCTATGAAGTGTGAGACAAATGATCTGCTAAGCTCGGCAAAAGAGGTAATAGAGGCGGGGGAGAGCTTAGCAAACCACTGTCGGGCAGACCCTTTTAATGTGGTTGGGAATGCCCTGCACATGATTTCGTCTGGTACGTTGTGCAATTGCATCAAGGTCTTGTAAGTGTCGAGGTGGTCCAGTGGATCCTTTGTTCCATCAAAGGTCTCCACAGATGGCATTTTGAACTTCTGAGGGAGGGGGTAGTTTGCTACATCGGGTTTGAAAGGGGTATCAGTACGCCTTACCAGGTGGTCAACAGTCTCGGGTCCTTGTGCCTTCATAGCGTTGAAGACATCACCGAGTTGATTCTGTACCTCCTTTATCTTCTCGTCCCAATGATTGGGGGCTCTTCTGGAATGATCATGGAAGTGGCTTCCATGCCCCATGCTTTGGTTTTCACCCTCATCCTCCTGGAGATAAGGGTCCTCTCCCTGGAAAGCAAGGGGAGGGGGAGGTGCAGCTCCCTCATGTTGGGCTTTTCGAAGTGGGGTGCCCAATGGGGCACCCGGGCGTGGAGTAACAGGGCGTGGTGCTTCTTGATGTCCAGGATGTGGAGCTCCTTGGGGTGCTCTATGTTGTGCACCTCCGTGGGGCCCTCCATGTTGTGCACCTCCATGTGGTGCTTCACGTTGTGCACCTCCGTGTGGTGCTCCACCTTGGAGTCCTCCATGTTGTGCACCTCCGTGTGGTGCTCCTCCTTGTCCAGCAAGTATGAGTTGCAGTAACTGTTGGTTTTGAGCAACCAGTTGCTGCATGGTCTCCAATATTTGTTGGAGATTCGGGGCTAAAGTATCCGGAACAGGGTTGATAGGCGGGGGGGCAACCTCCTCCTCTCGTGGAGGATTGTCTTCGTGTTGGTTCATGGATCGAGTAGTGATCGCCATTAGTTAATGGACGTAATGTTCAGGAGTGAGAATTTTGTCGGTTCCCACAGACGGCGCCAAACTGATGATGCACAAAAATGGTTTTGCACACCACCTGTCAAGTATGGATAATAAATGCAATGAAATCAATGAGAAAATTAGAGAAGACACAATTTATAGTGGTTCGGTCAATTCGACCTACGTCCACTCTTCAATGGCTTCAGTCGCCGGATATTTTATTGATTCAAAGGTATGGAGATACAAGCTTTGAGAGGGAGAATGGAGAATCAAAGAAAATAGTAATCTCCGGTAGTCGGTTCGTC